TTTTTTTAATGTATTACTTGGCTTTAATTTGAGTATGTTTTTCGCGTTGGAACGAATTATTTGGTTTTACATGTAATCGTATAGGAAAAGATGATCCACCTTACGACATTTTCATGATACGATCTCAGTTTCGGAACGGATTAATTTCGTATCCTGAGGTACCACTGTAATTTATAATCTATAAGTTTTAAATACAACTGTTTAAATATAAGAATATTTAAACTTTTATGTACAAACTGCTAAATCAAAAATCATATTTTCATTACAAAATTAATACTAAACAATTGTAAAGTGTGCATGAGATTTAGAAGGTTACAGTTGATTTAATTTAGCTTAAAAACACATTATTCATCAGATATTAATAAAATAACGCTTGATTTGAAAATTGCAAATGTCTGCTAATGCTGTTGGAAAGATCAATGTAATTATCATTATATAAAAGTAACTTTAATTATTAAAGTATTGTCTATGACATTTATTAAATAAATTGATTAGCCAATGTAAGCAAAATTCATTATAATGAAATTGTCTTCACTAATTTATAAAATATCGAAAGAAAAGCATCCGAGATTTGATTTTTTTTAAATAATTTAATATTCTTACTATAATACCGTGTTTTAGTTTCCAAATTTCATTAGATTAAACTCTAAACAATACATTTTTAATAAGGACAGTTGCATTTCTTGTATCTTTTCAATTTAATTAAACAAGTTATTTGGTTAGAAGAATTCCATGAATATAACATTTAATAGTCTTATATAAATATAAATATAAATATAGCCCTCTCATACAGGTTGGAAACAGAAAATTGTAGAACAAATTTATTCTTATACAGTTTGCAATTGTTGTGGAATATTTCATTTAAAAAATTTACCTCACGAAATAATAAACAAAGTTAAACTGGCAATAAAAATAAGTAAAGGTTTATTTGCGGGGGCTTTACAAAAGTTAGAACTATGTAAGATATAAACACCAAATCAAATCATTGAAGACCATATGGGTTTCTCTTTATTTTAACATCAAAGATATGTCCTAAATTATCTTTCGATAGTACCATATCCAAATATTTTAAAATTAAATTTGTTTCACAGAAACTTTCGTATTATATTTACTAAATTCAATTCGATATGCTGAAAGTATAAGAAAGTTCTTTTGATTTTATTTTCTACTTACAAATAAACTGAATAACCTACAAAAGATTTTATTAGTTTTTCGCATTTATGTATCAAACAGAAACTATATAGAATGAATTTATTTTCTAAAAGCTTAAATNTCTTACTATAATACCGTGTTTTAGTTTCCAAATTTCATTAGATTAAACTCTAAACAATACATTTTTAATAAGGACAGTTGCATTTCTTGTATCTTTTCAATTTAATTAAACAAGTTATTTGGTTAGAAGAATTCCATGAATATAACATTTAATAGTGATAAAGAATAAAAATTTAGCTAAATTATTTAGGATAAAGTATTAAAATAATATCCGTTCATAAAATTTCCATTTTTGTATTTTCCTCGTTATATTATAGTTGCATGAGAAAGATGTTGATCATAGGATGTGCCTCGAAAGGAAATAAATCCTACAATAAAAAATAAATGTCTTAATTCCATTCTCATCTAATTGGTTGAAATAAAACACAAAATATTTATAAACTAATGATCGAATTTATATGAAATGACAAAGCATTATTTTCTCGTGTTTGCAAAACGTAAATGAAATAGAAAAAAAAAAACTCTGATTTAAAACTTTCATGTTTAATTTAATTCATGTAAGCCATATAGAAGAGGAGGAGCGTTAGCGAGGTCTCTTCTGTGTGGCTTACAGAATTGTGTTCGTTCTCAAAATCTGTTCGATCGATTTTGATTAAACTTTGTCATTTTCCATGAATTGCGACGAGGAATCCAAAAATGCAATAAAAAATGGTGTTTATGACTTTGTTTTCGAGATATAAGATCGTTTCACGAGCGTGCGCGACAAAGCGATGTCGCACAACAAAGTCGTGCGATGTTTCACGGTCGCTAGCTTCTATGGGCTTATAGAATCGAATTCGTTCTCAAAATTTAATGGGCCGATTTTGATAAAACTTTGCCATTTTCTATTAATTGAGACAAGGAATCCAGAAATGTAATGTGGGTCCATTTAAATTAAAAAATCCAGCAATAAGTTGCTTAACTTTCTCGGCAACATTTAAAACTGCGTGTGTGGCGCCATCGGTTACGATATTTCATTTAAAAAGCTTTTTTTTTTATTTTTAACTATTATAAAATGGCAAAAAGCTTAATTTTGAGGGTAGGGCTGGATTTTATAAAAAACTGTAAATTCTAATAACGATTTTCATTGTTATTAAGTCCGACCTTACTCGAGAAATGACACACGACCCACTGTATCCTCCCACCCCATCGACTTTTAACTATCAAAATTTAATAGTATCAATCTCTTTAAAACGCAAACCTTCCTGCAAAATTTTAGAAATTTTCGACAAAAAGTATAGGAGTTATTAAGCTTGAAACAGGGTGAACAAAATCGTGCTCCCCCCACACACTAACATTTGTATATATAGAAAAACTCCCGAATTTTTTTTTTTGCATTTCTCGACGTTTCAAGGTGCCCAGTTCAAAAATGTTAAAAATCTTGTTGGAGTCGTCATTTTTTGACCGATCGCCATACTTTCCCTCTGTTACAAATAACAGCCTGGAAAATAAAAATAGGAGTCCATGACAACGTTTTCGAGNTATGGGATACTATAGCATTACGTGCATTTCCTAGATACGCCCTTGTCGTCCATTACAATGAATATAGAGCTTCACTGTGTATAAACTGGTCACTGAAAGTGAGCAAACAATGATAACTTACACAAGAGCGGTTAACCAAAGATATCAAGCAGACCATCATTCTAATATACTGTATACTGTACAGAGGAAAAAAAAACGGAGATAGCAGTCAAATAAATTTCAAAAACAATAGAGCTACTAATAAACAAATTAGTAAAAAAAAACAACTCTGGAATGTCCTTGAGAATTGAATGAAGTTTTTTGTTCTTTTGAAGGAATAACAAAGTGATTTGTTTAAACTTATGGAAGGAATCACAATTTCCATTATAAGATGTGGGTTAACATAACCTAGATAAAGCCAACAAAGATGAAACTTGGATAAAGTAAATAATCGAGTAACCATCAATGAAAAGAACTTTAATTTGAAATGCAATTAGTTTTCTATCATTAATTTGCCATTGCATTCTCTAATGCTCATTCTGATAGAAAATATTTAGGCTAAGTATCGCACGGTTAGAATAAGATTAAAATGCAAATTTATTCACGCGTTTGATCTAATAATAATAATTATAAGAAAAATAGTTTTCATCAATCATTATATGCTGGAAATACCTGTCAAATCAATGCCAAGTAATGTTAAAGTTTATGAAAATAGCAATAAGGTTCCGTGAATAAATTCTCGCTTTTTATATGCTTTACGTATTCAGAATATGATATGAATTTTAAATCTTTTTACGGATGCCAATAACGAAACGTATATAAACATATTATTTACTTAATATATATATTATTAATACTCATTTATCTCAAAGAAACAATCTTACTTAAGAGAACAATATTATTAGAAGTATCAAAGATGAATTAATACATTGGTAATTAGTACAATGAGTATTAATAGAAACCTGAAAAATCAATTTAAAGATATATAACTTCAAATACATACAGGGAGACAAAGGAATGTAATAAACTGAGAATGCTGCTATCTAACTCAGGTGCTTCTATCGTCAAAAGAAAAGATAGAAGCATCTGGGAGGTCTTAGCTCTACGACTTGTGATCGTTCGTCACAATCCTGAACACAATAAAGGGTGTAGATTAAATTTTATAAGCTCGCATTTATAGGATGAAGTAAAAACATTCTTATCACAAATAACATTCAATCTTTTAGTGCTTTCTTTCTATACGTTGAACTTTTTGGTTTGTTTTTAGCAGAAGTTTAGTAAAATGAAACTTCTTAGTTCTATTTTGTTACTTTTCAAATAAAGTGTTACAAATATAAATATAGGCCTATATACATTTGCTCTTATTTTTACTTTTATATATATGTATTCACATATAGCATTTTTTATTCATTTTTTATATCTATAAAATCGCTCTGCTTATCAGATATACAAGTTAATATAATTAAAATATTATATTTTTAGTAGAGATAATAAAATATCAAAAACATAAAATAAAATAATAATTACAAAAGAAAGCGTCAGTCGAGTTACAAAATTAAGTTATTTGCTGAATATTATATGATTAAATTATTCAAGATGTACAGTATAGTACAATATCTTACATCTATAATACATCTATTGTTAAAAGTAACTGTGATCAAAAGACAAAATTGATATACTTCGTCGTATTATCGAGAATAAGATTGTTTTACTTTATATATAATTTATATTTTTATATGAAATTTTTGTTCAAATTGTAGATTATGCTTTTAAAAATGTATTGCAATAATACTATAGAAGGAATAGAGTAATGAATTATACAGCACCTTCTGGCAAGTTTAATAATAGGAATATGATGGATTCAGATTGTGCAGATGAAAGATAGGTACTAAAATATTGAAAATGATCCATTTCAAATATTATTTTGAATTCAACACTCACTTTAACACTACGGATTTTCTTTGAAACTATTTAACAGACAAAACTATTCCATTTATATAAAGTTACAAGATTTATCATTGTAGTCGTGCGAGATTGAAAGCTAAATAATTAAAATATACTATGTTATTTATATTGGTATAAAATTACCAATTAGCTTTACTCATTTTCTCAAATAAAAAATAATTTCGTGATCAATCAAAATACATACAGTAATTACATAAATAACCTGACATGACATAAATACATAATAAAAAATTATATAAATTCAAAAGAAGCATAAATCGATTATATTTTTAAGTATATTTTGTATTAAAAATTTTTGAAAGTTCTTAAAATTAATCATCATATTTTATAAATCATATAAAATTTATATTGACTATTTTCAATGGAAATCGAATTTTTTTTTTGCATTTCTCGACGTTTCAAGGTGCCCAGTTCAAAAATGTTAAAAATCTTGGAGTCGTCATTTTTTGACCGATCGCCATACTTTCCCTCTGTTACAAATAACAGCCTGGAAAATAAAAATAGGAGTCCATGACAACGTTTTCGAGGTACAGAAATATTAAAGTGACAATGTCCGTGCTTTCTGATGCGACTAAGTGCGCCTAACGGAATTTAGGCGTAAGAGTCAAAAATAAAAACAGCATTGCGTACACTTAACGAAAAATAGGCGCGATAAACGAACACAACACAAGAACAAATGAATCGATGGAGATTGCTTGATTCTTGGATCGCATCTCTGTGTCGACAAGAAAGGATCGTGTCTGTCTCTCATGGCCGGTAGGCACAGTATAAGGATCACATCTTCTGTCCAGGGATTGCTTCTGTCTTTTCAACTCCGCCTCAATTCTATCGCGATAAGACAAAATCGTGCGATGTTGTAGTAAATTATATATAAGTTAAAATTACTTTTCGTTCCTCCTTGATGCAGGAGCAGTTTATTTTCTCTAAGCAGGTAAAGTTGAAGTTGAAATATCTAGTAAATATACATTTATTTTTGTATATATATTTATAATACTTTCAAAAATTTCAAATAAAAATTATGTATAAAAACCAGCAAAGTTACATTAATAGAATACGGTTAATTCATGATACACACTATATAATTTTCTTTCTTTTTACGTTATAAATTATATGTATTTCACACGTTATTTCCTACACATTTATCTACTAACAACTAACTTGGCAAGTATGAAATAAATAGAGCCAATGCGACACAACGTGCTTAAATTAATAATATTTCTCAATATAATGATTGATCATCGTGTTCACTATACATCTAACGGTTATAAAACCCAATCAAGGTCGACGAGAGAGTGGGAGCCAAAAATGTAGTCACAGAGTCGACCTTTAGATAGGTCTGTTTTNCCCTCCACTCCCGCGTGTCCGCTCGAGATAAGCTCAATGTATTTATGTTAGTTATGTTACCGTCTCAATAAATGTTGTTTTGTTGTTAAAAGTCGTCTTTATTTCGAGTATCGCTCACACTTTACCGACGACCCCTCTCACCTCCTCCACTCGACCTGACAAAAGAATCCCGACTTTACGGGATAGAAAAAGCATTTTCTAAGCCATCCACTGACCAATGGGCAGTTCTCACCGAACTGTTGCCTATCAAAAAGAGGTACGACCTCGTCCTACCTCAGGCTACCCACACATTTATAGATAATTTTAAGCGTACAACAAACAAACAACTCAACAAATTACATTATCAGTAGGACTGAGAAATAAAGAACAAAACGTCGAAATATCCACTTTTCAGCCATATTATCTATTGAATTCGAGCCCAGATCTCTCAGTGCGAAGAAATTTCTTAATGTAAATTTGATATGCAGAATTAAGAAACATACGGACTCACAAAATTTTTAAACAATGAGATTATCACTATTTTTTTTTTTTTTTTACTTTCAGTTGGCCAGATGATCTAATTTTACTATAAGTCACCGGATCGACTGAAAGTGAAGAAAAATAATAATCCCATGTAGGCTACTGCCAAAGGAGATCCGAAATCGAAGCTGATCCAGATTCTCAAATTATCATGGATAATATGCAGTGGCAGGTCATCATAAAGGAGCAAGGAGTGCAAGCTTGGAGCCTCCGAAAGTTAGCAGCTTCAAAAAGAGATACGTTCTGTAAACCTCGGGCACAGATAGCATCTTCATCAAGACAATTTGCCGTAAACGGCGTAATAATAGTTTTTACTACTTAATAACTGACAAAAGTTACTTTATTAATTAGTTAAGACAATTTCTCATGGTGACATCTCATGGATTTCTCATGAGACATCTAAGACCATGAGAAATTGTCTTAACTAATATTTAAATTCTTTGTGCATTTACGTATCTACTGCGCTTATGATTGGATAATCACAAGCACAGTTGATCTCTTGCAAATTGCAAACTGGGCGAACGAATGAAAAAGTTTATAACTATTTGGTATGGATTTGTTTGGTTTGGTATGGTTGGTGTTTTTAGAGTAGTTTTTCCTTGTCAAGGAAACGTTATAAAGTATTCATGTCATTATATCATTATTTATGTTATATACAATAACCACTGTTTTATTGTGATTACTTATTGTTACAATCAACAGCAAAGATTATTTCAAAACAGTAAAATCCATTGTATTGTAGTCGATTATTAAAATCATACCATCGAATATTAAAATTCATTTATCAGTATTTTACTTTCCCACTGTTATAGATAACAAAGGGAATGTACAGTACTATACAGTACAGGTCATTTTTTGACTAAACTATAGTTCGACGATCAGTCAAAAAAAAATGACTTTGACAAGATTTTTACATTTTTGGACTCAGGAACCTTGAAACGCCGAGAATTGCAAAAAATTGAATTTTTTTGCAGTTCTCGACGTCAGGTGTGTTTGTGTATGTGGGTTGCACAATTTTGTTCATCCAATTTGAAACGTAATAACTCCTATGTATTTTGCCGAAAATATCCGAAATTATGCAGGGATTCTTGTGTATTAGGAGCATTGACGCTATTAAATATTTGTGGGTAAAGGTCAACGGCGTAGAGAGATAGAAATGGAATCATTTGTCATATCTCGAATAAAATCGGACTTAATGGAGAATTTACTGTATATTTGTATTTACAATTACAAAAATAAAACTCATATTTACTCTCAAAATTAAGCTTTTTGCTATTTTTTAATTAATAATACAAAAATTTTAAAGCTAAAATCACATAACAGATGGCGCTAAACAAATTTTAACTTTTTTGCCGGGAAAGTTACGCAACTCTTTGCTGGATATTTTTTATTTTTATAAACTGATTTGATAACATTACTTAACATTTAGAATAAGGAGGTCTGAAATCTGGGTTGAGCTTGGGTCCCACCGAATACCTGATCCGCCACTGATAGTATGGATCGGAAAGTTATTATCCGTCTTTCAAGCATGCTGGTCGGTCCCATCCGTAATGGGTATAAATGTGACCCATATAGTCTGTATTCTACTACTTAATTAATTATTTAAATTTACTTTCAGCACAATTTATTTAATATGGTTTCGGAAGGCTTCATTTTTGTACTTCATACTTCAAATACAGTACTGAAATTCATTTCAAGCATTTGACTGAAAGCTAATGTTTCCCCCGTAAGAAGAGCGAAGAAGAGTATCATCTAAATAGACCTAAACGACGATAACTGCCGAAATAATTTTGTAAAATTAAAAGTAGTTCAAGTTATAAAATAATATTTAAGGATTTATAAGTTTTAGTATTCTAACGAAAGAAACCACTTCGCCAAAGAATCTTAACTTGGTTTAAACTTTAAATCAGTTAATTCAATCTGTGTTGGAATTGAGCTTAAATCGGATGGCAACAGATTTTAAATCGATGTTTTTCCTTCAATAATCTTCTTTTCTCTTTAGGGGTATAAAGAGAACCAAACTCGAAACGATCAGTAAATATCACCTCGGGTGATAACCGAAACTTTGTGTTAGCTTTTAAAGGATAATGGTTTAAAAAACATTTAAAAAAACAATATACATAAACATAAATTAATTGTATATACTGATTATAATTGCCAAAATAAGTTATTTGCAAAAATCATAAACACATCTAAAACTTTCTCCACATTTAAAACAAAGACATAATCGATATATTATAATTTTTTAGGTAAACTTATATTTTTATACTTTTGAAGGTTGTATCCTAATCGATTTAGCATTAATAAAAACATGAAATTTACTTGTGGCGCCAGAAACTTTTTAGAATTTCACTTTTCACGAAACAAACACAAAACTGATTGATTATAAGTTTAACACACAAATAAGCCATTATATTATTGTTTCAAATATGCAATATACATTGTTGTATTTAGAAAATTGTATCAAATTTATTAATTAATCAAATAATTTGTTTTAAATTCTGACTTTTTTCGCCTTTGCTAGAAAACTTTTTTCCTATTGCAATATATAAAATTGAACGAAATGATGTTTTTAATAAAATATGACTCAAAAAAATAAATAAATAATACAGAAGAGCATCGTTTATCCGAATCAACTGGGGACTGGGGTTGTTCGGATAACCGATTGTGTACGAAAAAATACATTAATGTAAATATCCTGAATGTAAACTTTTGTAAAGCCTAATGTAAACTTTTTAAAATAATAATCGTGGCTATTGTATCGTTAAAAAATTATTTCTTTATTTTTTACAAACAAAATAAATACTGTATATTGGAAAATAGAAAAACAAAAAAAATTAATACTTCAGAAATTATCTAGTATCAAAAACGTTCGATTCACATGACACACAGCCTCAGAAAAACACCACACAAAAGTAACAGTGCTGCCAGCTAAAACACATACACAAACATAAAAAATATTGGAGTAGCCCAAGATATAGCCAAAGATTGCAGCGCCACAGCACTAGCGAAAATTTAAATTTGCCGACTGGAATTCTTTCGGATAACCGACTTTCGGATAAACGACGCTTTACTGTAACAATATAATAATAGTTAGCAATAAAACGGAAATCTTCTATTATGTTTAATTTTTACACTCATCTGTATATAGAAACATTAATATAATTATTATACATAAAAGTAATTAATATACAAAATATAAAATTATATATTAATAAGAATCAGAGGCAAATTATAAAGTTAATTTATATGTAAGAAAATCAGTATGAGTGTTGAATAAATATCTGTCTCATTATTAGCATTCGCCACTTCTAAACGTTCCCTTAATAAATGAAAATTTTACATTTATGTTCCAAACTCTTTTCTAAATATACAATCATTCTCATTCTTATATGTAACAGACTCAAAAAATATTATACACGTCTACATTAAACATTATATACAGTATATTTTAATTATGTTTTAACGATTATTTTGTTTATTACCAAATACAATAAGCACACTTCTATTGTTTCTTTCAAAAAATTAAAATTTATTCATAGTTTATCCTGTTTCTTCAGGATTGGGCATTAATTAGACAGTAATATTAATTGAAATACGTATTTTCTATAATTAAAGCATTATATACAATACAAACTCTTTATGAAGAATGATGATAACCTTGTATATATTCATATTATATATTAATTTTCACAGAGACAAAATAAAACTTGAATTCACTCTCGTTTGGAAAGTTTTAAAATGTCGGTTTAAAGCGCTCATCCTTCTACGTCACAAGACCTGTTATGACGTCAGATTCTAGTCTGATATGTATCTAGATGGACGCCCACCAGTGACCTTCGTACCCTGAACACTGGTAGTTCGGTCGTGGGTTCGCGCCTCGCTTGGACGGGCTGGACATGTGGAGTTTTCCGGATTTTCTCCACGTCTGTAACTCCTTAATAGGAGCCAATTTCCCTTAAAAAGACCTCCCGGAAGGAATCCCCCTAAGCATATCGCCCAAGTGTTGCGTTGCCATAACAAACAAACAAATATCTAGATCAGTGTTCCGCAACCGGTGTGCCGTCACATGGTAAAAGGTGTGACGTAAACTTTTACATATTCTGTTAATTTCAAGTTTTATTTATATATTTTTATCACAGTTGTTGTGTTTCTTATGCTTGTATTTCATTCTTTTCATTCTTATTTCATTTGCCGCAGCATTGATAAAATAAGATGATGTTTGTTTATTCTTTATTACAATCCACGCATTTTTATGTATTCTAAGAAATTATATGTAAAATAAATTTGCTCACAGGTGTTTATTCTGTTTAATAACAACAATAATAGGTTAGTAACATTATATAATTCTATTAATAGTATCATATCATACGTTTTTCAGGGAAATAACATTTTGGTGTGCCGTGTTGAGACATGGGTGTGCCGCAAGTAGAAAAAGGTTGCGGATCACTGATCTAGATGGACACGATCAGGACTATAACGGGGTCACGAGGAAAGGGGGATTTAATTGTTCCCTCAGAAAGGTAGACTGGCTGATGCCTTAACCTCCTCTTTCGTCAACATATAAATTTATTGCATTCACTTTTATAAAATAGGCATACATTTTTAAAAATTAAGTTTTTTTTAATAATCCTTTTTCAATTCGTTTATATTTTAGCTGATTCTATCATTATACATAATCATTAATGTCAGTCGTGTTTTCAATTTAAATCCATCCGAACTGTCAAACAAATTTTAATGAAATATGAAAATTAACAATTAAAAACGACCTAAATACTTTTCAACTTTTTCATTGAGGAAATTACAAATGTAAAATAATTTTTTTCTTTTTTCATTGCATAAGTTATAAAATTAATTTTTTCTTTCGCTTTAGGATATATATTTTTATTTATTTTTGGAAGTTTAATTTTAAAAATAAACACTATTTATATAATTCATGCATTTAATTGCTAATATAATTTTTAATTATTTTTAAAAGGAAAAAAAAATATTCCAAAATTTTACTTTAAATATTTTAATTAATTGAAGAAATTTATGATAATATTGCTTAATTACACGTGTAGAATCGAAAACGGATTCGGAAAGAAATCGCATGGATCAGGAAGTAAATTGACATAGACGTTTGAAATAAAACAAACTGTAATGCACGGAAACGACATGCAAAGCTTTGATAATGCAATACAAACGACAAGTCAAACGTATTCTACAATTTATAATAGCTAAATTACATAAAACATGCCCTCCTTGCTGATCTTCTCCAAGAAAGTCCTAATTCTCTTCGTCAACGCCTTGTCCGATTCTTCTGCTTCTACTAGTACTTTGAGGAATCCGTTTCACGCAGGCTTGGACCCACAGAGAGATTTTGGTTAGGACTTTCGACAGGAATACTTCGGCTTACAAATTGCTCAAAATCTTTCGATACGTCTAGCCTGGAAAGATTAGAAACATCATCGCCGCTCTCAACGAAATTTCGGAGACTCTGAGAAAGTTCGTAAATGAAGTGACGTAGTGAGCAGAAGCAAGAGCTAGACAGAAGAGCACTTTCTTACGTCTGTAATGCTTGTCAATAAAAAGTATTAAACGCTTCTTCATATACTCCTTCAATATGGACCGTAGCCGTTATAGTCCATTCGAAAATGAAAGGTTTCGAAACATTTCCAAGTGTCCAGACTATTGCCAGACAATCTATTTCTTTGGGAATTCAGCTTTGCCCTTGAATTTGAAGTCTTCCGGGTATCAGCTGTATCCTGGATATGATAGAAATGGAGTCCTGGAATGTTCGTTGGGTCTTGAGTCACCAGGTTTCATAGTCAATAAGAATGATTTTCCCCGAGATTTTTGTGTGCAGTTCCAGAGCTCCTGAGTATTTCGGTGCCGTGGTTTCAACCCATCCCTTTATGCCCAACTTCCCAACTTTAATGGCAACTAGAGTCGATCGGGCCAGCTTTAGTTTTGTAGCTGCATCGATGAGTGAAGTGTCGGGCTTTGATTTAAAAAATTTACTGATCTTGTCCTTCATTTTGTCAGTCATTATCGCAGGTGTTTGACCGGGCAGCGGCTTGAAACTTCTATCTCCACGTTCTTTGTATCTTCTTAAAATATTGTGCATAGTTTGACGTTTAACTGATTCTCCGGTAAAGTGCTGGCCATTTTGCATTTGCCCTGTCTGCAACCTCTTAAAATACTTTACAATAGATTTAGCGAGAGCTTCGTGTTCGGCCGGCTTTATTTTAGGTTCAAGCATTTCCGAGTGATGATTCTATGGAATTCGAATATAGAATATATCAGCGCATGCGCATGTTGCATTTGACACATTAATGCTTTCTGCAGCGCACATAATTTTGGAACCAAATTACGTTAATTTATTTCCTGGCTATCCCTTAGTAGTAGTTCAATATTTTAAGTTTCATTATGAAACAAATATTGAACTATTTTGAACAATGATAATACTTTTCTATACTATATATTGTATGCTTCAATTATATTATAAGCCTATTGATATTACAGAAAGCTACCGCTATCATGCTTCATTTCTTTAAACCAACCTGAAAACTGAAATTTTGGCATCGGTTTTAACAGTTTTGCTCATTTTATAAAGGTAATGGATCCAAAAACTGTAATATAATCACAATGAAAGCTCGTGTTACCAATAAAACATCTCGTAGCGATCGACCCCATTGTCACATTTGGATCTGTTCCTGACCAGAGACAGAAAACAACCATGGATTCGATTAATGAATTACATTAATAGAATAAGGGAGCAACACATGCACGATTGGCTGTAAGGACTTCTATGGGAAACTCATCCTTATTTAGGTTTTAGACACACAAAGAAAACTCCACGCCCCCACCAGTGGGCGAGTGGTCTCCGTTGCCGCTCATAGCGGTGACCAGACCCTAAACACTGGGAAGTTCGGTCGTGAGCTCGCGCCGCGATCGGACAGGCTGGCTGCTTGGAGTTTTCCGGGTTTTCTCCTTGCCAATAACGACTGAATAGGAGGCCAGTTCCCCATAAAAGTCCTCCCGGAAGGCATTATTTCCTGCGCGCGCGTATAGGCCGTTCGGATACGGCTGGCTCTTCGGTCGCATAGCGATCATAACCAAATGTCTGTCGGAGAAAGAGCCTATATGAGCTAAAATCTCCATATCAACATCTGAAAAGAAAGAAAGAAAACTCCACGTGGTCTGCCAACAGCACGTAGAAAACAAGGCCTCTGGACAGGCTTCATGTCAGTCCATCTCACGACCAGTGTTCAACAGCGTTATACACTCAACCATTGGTAGAGAAACAACCGCGGATGAGGATAATAATTTGATATTATTAATTCATGAAATACAGTAAAGTTTTCATTGTCAAAG